ATTTCCTGGTTATAGTTATGAAATGTGGTACAATTGTGCATAATCACTGGTGCAATTCTTAGCACACTTTGCTAGAGGCTGGCTAGACTTTGCATCTGCATAGAAATTAAGATGCAAATATGAGTTGTGTTCATTGGTATGGTTAGTGTAAACAGAGGATATTTCTATTGTATATTTAAGGTTGAGAAACCTATTTCATGAACAGCATGTTATCAGCAAACACTTCGCAGTTATTAAGTAACTGCAGAAGGATGTGGTCAAGTCAACGATGGGTAAGGAAAAATGGATATATGAAGAGTACAGTTGCCAGTTGTATTCAGAAATTGTAGTTTTCTCCATCTGGAAAAACTGCAATAATTCTCTGTGTATTCCTGAGTTTTAAAGCAAAAAGAAATATGGGTTGGGACAGGAAGGGAAGAGGGGATGAAGTCCAGGTGGTCGTTTTAGGGTAAAGAATGCAGAAAAGTCGAAGCAAAATGGATGATTTAATTTCTCATCATTATTCTACTGAAGAATTAAATTTGCAAGGTCATGTCGAGGCATATTCAGTCAGAGGCATATCAGTGAAGGTAACGGGATTCAGATGAGTTCCCATCCAAGAGATATTTAAAGAAGCAGCTTTTCTCTAAATACATGTACAAATCAGCGTTGTCTCGACTCACGTTGCATATTAAACCAAAGCTCAGCCTCCTGCAGCTAAAGGACCTTATTTTTGTTCTTATAAAAAAAAACTGACCCAAGTTCTGAAGTCCACCTTCCCACATTTACTTTGCAAGATATCGCCTCATTTCATTTATGGCTTTCATGTACTTCATTCCTTTGTTTCATTTTAAAATTCTCTGCCCATACCTGTAACAGCAAAAATTCGCTTTCTGCACTTCCCATGCCTCACTAATAAATAATCATGGTAGAACAGACATGAAGAAATATTGGTTCTCTGCATCAGGCCCATGCATTTTTTTGAACATATCAGATGAGTACTTCCTCTAATTCATGCATTTAATAAACAGCTGTATTTCAGGTGTGTTGCAATTGAATATGGGAAGAACAATTCAGAACATGTAAGAAAGGAAAGAAAGGGAATAGAATTACCACAGAAAAATTCTTACAGGATGATTTTTGAAAAGTCTAAACTAAATTATTTCTGGAGCGAGTATGTTTTCCCTATTAATATTCACCTTTCTATTAACTTTCTTGAACTTGACACTGAATTGCAAAGATATCATTTTACATCTTTTGAACTACTTTAGAAATATGCGTCAGCTGTTTCTGATTGAATTTATTATTAACAGCTGGCAGCCTTGGCTTTAGGAATCCAACTGTGCTACATAAAAATGATATTTCAGGTTTTTCTTTTAACCAAATCTGTAATTTGCAGCGTCTTAAATGATTCAATTCTTCCTTTTTTTTTTCTTTTCTATTTTTTCCTTTTTTTTCTTTTTTTTTCCAACAAGTGCTGGGAAACAAGCAGCCCAGGTGCCAGCAATATGCAGTACCCAGATTTTTAGCTTCCTTATCTTCTGTCACAGGGAGTCAGACTTCAAACCTGAATTCAGATTAGCCTATGAATGAGAAACAGAAGCCAAGTAATGCTGAAATAGGCAGAAGTGGAGGTATCAGTAAGCTTTGTTCCTCTGTAACATCTCCTACTATGACCTCATATGGTTAAAACCACATACAGCCTTGGGATGTTTGGTCAAAAATAATAAGTAAGCATGACAAAAGTGTGGCCACTTCTGTAACAGGGCAGAAAAGATCCCAACTTTTCTTACCCAACAATCCAAATGTTCAAAACTTCAGGTCTGATCATTGGGGAAACATCTGGGAAGGTGCTGCAGTCTTCAGCATGAACTCTTTCAAGTTCCATAAGCTTCAAGGGCTTTTATTTTTTTTTTTATTTTTATTTTTATTTAGAAATGTGAATTTCTGTCATGTGCCCTACCTAGCTAGCTTCCCCCTAGATCTGTCACTACATCAATGTGCAGAAATATTTGCCGCTTTCTGGAAAGTGGTGTTGATCAAACAGACAATTTGGAATTTATACAAAAAGCATATTAGGCAATAACTACAGTTTTACAAAGCTCATGCTGATCTGTGATGCAGTCATAGGACTGCTTCCCCACCCCTTCTCTTGAACCTGCTCCTTAAATCCCATGAGCCTCACTTGAGGCTCTGTTTGTTCATATATGTATTCTATTTCATCTACTGCGTATCTCTGTGATCCTCTCTGTAGCACAAGGGCTCAGACTTTTGCTGTGTGTCTCTTTTTGCACATGTGACAGATGCACTGCGAATTAAAAATTGCAAGAAACATACTGAACAAAACCAAAACCTTGTGAAAGCCATTAAAGCACTGGAGTGGTTTATTAAATGCTGACTCCATACCCCAAATGCAATTTTAATGAGAAAGCTTAACCATCACGCTGCAACTGGATCCTTATATTCTAAAATTACCACTTTTAGAAAGTCTAGAGAAAACAGATGGGAAAGAGAAATTCTC